GAGAGAGAGAGAGAGAGCGAGCTTATACAGGCAGGCTCCCCTTTATAGAACCATCAGACCTCGTGAGACTTTTTCACTATCATGAGAACATTATGGGAAAGACTCTCCCCCATGATTCAATTACCTCCCACTGGGTCCCTCCCATGACATGTGGGAATTGCAGGGGCTACAGTTCAAGATGAGATTTGGGTGGGGACACAACCAAACCATATACTCACCCAGCATCAGAAATTAAGTAAAGGTAGAAATGTGAATGTGGCAAAGACAGTTAGTATGAGCTAAAGATTTCCTGTGCTTTTCTAAATCACCTCAGTCCCTTGCAGTTAAGGTCAGATGATGTGACCAGTTTGGGCCCATAGGCTATGAGTACAAACTAAAATTACTGTTCTTCCCCTATCTCTCACGCCCTGCTTAAGGAAAGGTGGAGAAACCTAGATCCCTGAATTCCCATATGAAGGAGCAAGAGCATGGAAAATTTGTACTATCCACATCAGACTTTACTTGAGAGAGAAAAGCATCTTTGTTTTGTTAAGCCACTGAGATTTTGAGGTTTGTTTCTGGAGCCTATCATGTTCTGGAGAACATGGCGATTTTTGTGTGAAATGTCCTCCTTATTCTCAGGTTATCTGCTCTATGAACTGACCTTGCAGAAACAGATGTTATTTGAAGGAAAATCCTGCCTACAAATTTGGAATTTGTTTAAGCTTCACAATGGCAGTCTTTGAAAATGTTCAATCAGTAGTCTAGCTTATATTAATATTTAGGTTATTGAGGCTATTGAGTATTGAGGAAGAAAATTAGTTGCAGTCTTAGAGTACAGGTAATAACTGTCATTCACTCATAGATGCTGTGATTTTACCCATTCCTGCAGATAGCTGGCAAAGGCTGATGTTTGACATGTAATGCAGTATTGCAGACACCGCTTTTCCATGTTGAAATGGTGTGGATGATAGAGCTGCTATTTAATGACAGATGCTACTATGGCCTGTAATGGGTAGTTCTGGCTTTGGCACTAGCTTCTCTTCTTTCTCAGGGATTTCCAGGGTTAAAGTGATAGATATTCTCTGTATTATTCTTCCAAAGACAAGAACAAAACAATAGATCACTATAAAGGAAGTTTACAACATTGTTCCCTGGGCCATTTGGCCAGGACATTCCTGTGTGTTTGACAGAAGGTTCTGCCTGCCTCTCTCAGCCTCCAAGCTTTGTGTCATGCTCCAAGGAACATGCAGATGGCAAAGATGCCAGATGCCCCAAACACATTTTTCTGGGTTGAAGATGTTTAGAAAATTGCAAGCAATATTTTTTGTGTGTTTTTTTTTCTCTTTTTCTCCATTAAGTTTCATCTTAATTATTTTTATTGGTTAAAATTATCTCCTTCTCTCAAATTGGAGATTTCTATTTCTAGAAGTTTTTCCCTTAGGCATTTGGCTTTTTTTCTGTGTCAGTTTTCTCTGTAATAGTTTTAGCCTCATCTCTCAAGGCATGTCTTGTCTTCTATGAGGGCAGTTCTATGTTGTCTCAGCAGGGCCAGCTTTTGAACTCATTGCCTTGTTTGCATTGAGGTTTACTGCACCAACATTTGCTGTCTCTTCCTGTTTTGTTTTAAAAAGTATTTTAACATTTTAGTTGCCTCCACTGGGATCCAGTTAGGGCTCCCTCATGTGTGTCTATTCCAGCTGCATTATAACCTCCATCCTGCCCACTCTCAATTGACTCTCAGCTCTAACTCAGGTTAGAACCTGAGGTTAACTCACTCAGGTTCCATCTGTTGTGTTTTTGGAGGGAGGCAACTAAAGCAAATCTCAAAGATGGTTGGTCACCTCAGTCTCCAAATTCTGTACAGTAGCTGAGAAGTAGCGTTACTGTATTTTGGAACCCTCTAAACCCTGACTCTTTCGAGGGCTATTCAGGAATGACACTGATGCACATTTTAAAGGTAAGGAATTAACAACTCTTATGAAATGTTATGAAGCCTCTCAAAGGGCTGAACGGACTTGATACCATTCTAAGATGGGGGAGACACTATGTTACTTTCGAATAACACTTTTATCATGGTTTATCCGTATTTCTATACCTTCCTTAGAGTGGTCCATAACCCAGACTCTAAGTTCACAGGGAATGTCTGAAGAAGATAAGTGATAGCTTTCCTGATTTAGCTGTTTTAATCTATTGCTTTAGGACAATATGTTGGGAGATAGACCACAATGATTTATCAAATCTCAGTCAAGAATGGACTACAGTAAAGTCATATGGTAAAGGGGGGATTAGATTCCAAAGGCAGTGAGTAAGTGAAAAATCACATAGAGACAGAATAATTCTTGGAAAGCTTTAAGAAAGATTCTCTGTTGGAAACTAAGATACAGCCAGTTTTCCTTCTGATTTTCAAGCAGATGAGCACCAGATGAAGAGGCTGGCTTGTGTTTTGCAGCCATGCTGTTTCAAAGATATGTGTTTTTGTAAAAAATTATCCAATCACACTGAAGGGAAAAGTGGATTCACCTCTTTCATCTCTGTGGCATTTTCTCATGGAATAGAAGGCAAGCAAGTTTGTCCTCAATTGCAATCTCAATTGCAAACTCAGTTCCCAAATTTGTATGCCTAACTTTCTGTAACTTAAATACACATGTTGATGTTGCTACAAGGTAGTTTCTTGAAGAAAGGGTTGTCAGTTCCACTTTGGAGAGATAGGAGGGAGATCCAGAGTCCATCCTGTTAAATGTCAGTAGCACGAATAGCGGAAATGCTATAATGAAGGAATTAAAGAGCATGTCCTCAGTGCAGAGACAAGACTCCCATCTTCTCAATGAATCTTTGTTCTTAGAGAAGCTTCTGAGATGAGAAGGAATGAGGCTTCTGTGGAGAAAATTTCCAGTTAACTTTACTGGAGTTGAAGCTCTAAGTGGATGAACTGTTAGTACTTGCCAATTCAGGAGGGGAACTGAAGGGAAGCCTCTCCTAGTCTGAAGAGCTCAGGCAGGGCTGTGGCTGCCTGAATCCTGGAGGACCCTTGCATCCCACGATGTCAGACTTCCAAGCAGGTTATTGTGAGGAAACACCAGCAGCAACGGGGGATCTCAGCATTGCAATACCTGCTCTGGAAAGATTCTCTTTCTTAGAGTTTTAAAAGTTATTTGGCAAAGTTTTGCTGAAGGAGTGTGCTAATTTTAAGCTACTGTAAGTCACTTTGGAGATTTCCACTGTAGCCAGTAGAATCTTTTTAAGTACTTTCCCTTTCACCCAGAGTAGTTGCAAGTGGCTGTCCTGAGCAACCAAGAAGAGACATTTCTATAGATTTCTGGGTAGGACTTGAATGAAAGGAACCTGGTCCCCTTGTCCAAGGGCATTTCTGCCGTAATGTGGGCAAAGGAAACAGGATGTCTATGAATTATGTCCTCTAGACCTCATCACTGGAGGGTGTACCTGTGAGCCTGCCTCATACACCAAGTTGGGATTCAAGCCCTGACCAGAAGTGACTGCCATTTCTCTGATGAAGAAACTCAAGATACCAATATAGTCAGTGAGCTTTGATTGGTTGACAAATCGGTAGCGTGGTTGCCATGTGGCCTCTAGGTCACATTTATCTAGTAATGACAGGGAGCAAGTTTGTGTGTACAAATTCCATATTCAGGAAAACTCTCCAAATTTAATCATGTATTGGGACACCCCAGATTTGGTTTTGGATTGCTTCTAAACTTGGATGAATAGTGGGGGGGCCACAACAACTCAGTTTTTTTTTCCTTTGCAAAGTAAGGTGATGGAGAGTGGGCTGGTGGAGAGCAGGTGGGTGTTGGGTGTGGACTAGTCTAAGATGTATTGCTGGGCTAGTATTTTATGAGTCTATGATGGGCAGCTCTCTTTGCGTAGAGTACAAATGAAATGTATTCTGAAACATGTTCTTTAATTAATGGCCCTTGCAGGAGTGTTTCTCTGTTGATAACTACAATTCTGTATTTTGGACTTCAGTAAACAAAAAGAGCCATGTGCTCTTTAATAATCCTTGTACTATTTGATTTCTGATGAGCAATGTGGCTCCAGAGCTGGGGTCTGTGAGCTCTTGAGGGCAAATATGTAAATTAACTAGCTGAGGCCAAGTTGCAGAAGAGAGTGAGTAATAGTGACTGAATACTGACCACGGACCAGGCATTCTATCAATTGCTCTACCTGCTTTGTTTTATTAATGCTAAAAACAAACCTAGGGCCGGGCGCGGTGGCTCACGCCTGTAATCCCAGCACTTTGGGAGGCCGAGGCGGGCGGATCACAAGGTCAGGAGATCGAGACCACGGTGAAACCCCGTCTCTACTAAAAATACAAAAAAATTAGCTGGGCGCGGTGGCGGGCGCCTGTAGTCCCAGCTACTCAGGAGGCTGAGGCAGGAGAATGGCGTAAACCCAGGAGGCGGAGCTTGCAGTGAGCCGAGATCGCGCCACTGCACTCCAGCCTGGGCGACAGAGCGAGACTCCGTCTGAAAAAAAAAAAAAAAAAAAAAACAAAACCTAGGAGTTTGAGAATATTTTGATCTTGTTTAATAAATAGTTGTGGTGAGGCTTAGAGAATAATTTGTCCAAGCTCACAGAGCTAGAAGGTGGCAGGGACAAGATTTGAATGCAAGTTGCTTATTGCTGAGAAGGCTCTTTTAAACATAGTGTGATGGTCTGTTGACTTTTTATGTTTATTCCGTTAAACTCATTTCTGCAATGCTTTGGGAAAATTGAAAATATCTTTAAAAGCTACATGTGATAAATGTTTTAAAATTGCCATCTAAAAACAAGCATGTAACTTAACCAACCATTAAAAAATTTATATAAACTTACTGCACAATAAAATGTTGTTCCAATTTTAAATTAAACAGATTAAAATAAATATCCAGTGTAATTCCCAGAACTGTCAGCTACTCACTATCTGTTCAGTCAATTAAACATCATCAGCTATTTGTGTACTCAAGAGTTTTATTGAATTAACCACCAGGCTTTTGGTGTTTTGATTGTTACTACAGATGCCACTGCTTTGCTTCGCTCTGAGAACTGCTGTCAGAAAGAGGCAATCACACACAACTGAACTGGTGGTCTCTTCGGAGAAAAGACTTGTAAATGGAAGACTGGCTTATTACTAATTACTTTTGATAAAGACTGCAGACAGCGAAACTTGCCTCTAACATTCTCACACATAATCTTTCTCTGCATGCATACGTAAAACCTCAAACAAAAGCCAATGTCAACAACAATATTCCCAGATAGCTTATTTCTTTCACAAAACGTCCAGAAGCCTCGAATAGCTCGGTTTTTCACACCTGAGTTGATACATTTTTTAAGGATGGGTGAAAAGCACTGAAGGGGGCAGATCCAGAAAGGTGCGTGTGAGGCTAGAAGGAAGAGTGACGACTTCTTATGTTTGTATTTGCTTTTCCTTCCAAATAGGTTTTGTTCGTGGGGACCTATTTGGGCAACCAAAACGTCTTCTTAGTTTTCATGGTATGGCAAAATACTAAAATTTTCTTACTCCTGAGCGGGAAGAGTTGTCATAAAACACATTAAGGACATTTTTGGTTTTAGTCTACTCTAGTTTAATGTCCTCCTATTACATACTCCAAAAGCCAGCCCCCACCTTCTCCATGGGCTTCAGGATATCACTTCCATCTGTTAAGTTTCTGATCAGGCCTGTGTGAGATAAGACAGAGAAAACATTCTCAACATGAACCACACTTCCTTATGAATCCGCAATAGCTTAGGAAGACAAGCTTCATGTTCTTAAACTTTATAGATGTGTTTCCCAATCCTCCTCTGTCTTTCCCATTGTTTCAGCTGGCATAAGGCCTCTCCTGTCTTGCCCTGGCTGCTCCTGCACTGATTTTCTCACTGCACTGGCTGGTGAGCGTGTTAACTATCGTGAGAATAAGCTGCTCCCTGTCCTGGCACTGCTTTTTGAAGAAAACATTTCCTTCCCTTGTGCAAGCCAAGGAGTTACTTCCGTGGGGAGAAAGCTGGAGTGCTGATTGGAAACATGCGTTATTGCTGGTTTAAATTTGGCTTATTTGCAACAGACAGAGATTGGGAGAGATAGGAGAATGGGCTTCTCCTGGTCCTGAGGTGGTTCCCACATCTGCTTCATATTAGGTGCACTGTGGAGAAAAGACTTTGAAATTAACTTTAGTTGTGGAATAATAAGGTAGGCTTCTTAGTGTGGGGGATTGTGAATGATTACCCTCCAAAATGAAGGGTTGACGTTTCATCCTCTGGGTACTTTTTCCAGGGTGGTTTGGCACTACATAGAAACTGGAGAGGTGTCCTGCACCCTCTCTATCCCCAGTGGATGAAGGTGCTATACTACTTCCTCTTCCTCAGAAGCCTAGAGTCTGGCTTTCAGGGCATAGAGTGCACAGCCATCTGGAGTCATCACCTCCACTTCCCTAGTCCTCTGGGACCTATAGCAACCAGGGGTATTCTTGGTGACATGTGCAGATTTGTGTCTACTGGGGATGAGGCAGACCGGCTGCTGGTCTTACCTGTTCTAGAGTCTTCAGGTGCCGCTTTAGAAATAGTCACTGTAGCACAGGTCTGCAAAAAGAAAAGGATATATTTTAAACACTTTTTGACTATTTTTCTCATCATTTCAGATCTCAACCTCTTTTGAGATAACCTCTTCATAATCTGAAGAAGACACCCAGACACTCATGAGTAAGTTATTCTCTGTATATTGTCATTTCTCATTGAATTGTTTTTATTTTTCTCTCCTCGTATTGAATGTAAGAGCTGTGACAGCAAAGCTCTTGTTACTGTCTTGAGTTCCCTGGTCCTAAGCAATGTTTGGATATTGTAAGCAATTTGAGATAGAAGGTTAACTGAGTGAATCAAAGAACAAATGAAGGGAAGTCTCTACCAATAAAGGGTACTTCTGGAAGCTACATTAGACCCTTGGATTCTTGACAGAGAGGACAATGGCACTGGGACAAAAGCCCTGGAGTTGCAATAGATCAGTCTGACCCCTCTGAGGTCAGCTTAACCAATATCTTGGGATTAGGCAGGAGAAAGACTAGACAAAAGAAATTAGAAGGTCGATGACCTTCCAGCCTACTTTCAATAACCATGATTTGGGGAGCTTTTACATTCATTAGGATCAGCCTCATCAGAGAGCTTCAAAATAGAAACAACAATCATCCATTGTGTGCGGTGTAAGTTTGCAGGCAGAGGCCTCAATTAGTTCTCTTCTTTAATGACCATCTAATTCTGCAGTTCTCTGATTTCCCCTCATTAAAGTACCCCTAGATAGTTGATTTGAGAGTTGTTTTAACTAGTCTTTTTTTATTTTAAGATTCTGATCAGAAAATCACTCAGATTATCCCAGGAAATGAAAGTTTATGGTAAAGACAGATTACATTTTATCATAAGAATTTTTACATTGCTATTTTATATTTGCCCTGCTATAGAGTGAGGAAGGTAACCTCTTCATGCTTCATGAGAGGAGAAGTTGTAATTGAAATCGTTTCTGTTGGTCCTTGTGGAAATGGAAGAGGGAGACAGTCATTCCACATAAGAGAACCCATGACAGGTCCAACCTCTGCCCCCTGAAGACAGGGATGTCTCCAAGCTGTACTTGCATTTCTGAAGCAGTTATGGAGGGAAATCTCACCACAGGGGGCTGTGACTAATCACAACCCTTGTGACTAATAACTCATTTTTTAAAAATATTATCCCAAGGAGAAAACAAAGGGGCCTTTTCGAAAGAATCTGAATAATGTCTGTCTCAAAGAATTCCAAACCTTCTATTTGCTAACTCATAAAAAGCCTAATTAATGTGATACTAATGATAATCAAGCCTCCCTAATCTTTGAATAAAATTATTTGAAGTTTCTTGAGCTTGCATATAATCCACCATGGCCTCTCCAGCTTCTCTGCTGGTAATGACCGTAGACCTCCAAATCCTATGAGTAATTGACTTACTCTTTTTTCTAATTCAAAAATTCCAGGCATTCAGAGTATCTTATTGGTCTTCCTCATTGAGTTGCAAAAGAACATGGCCTGGATTCCTACTTATGGGCCAAGTGGCCATGTTGGATTCACTCATGTTGGCTTTCGTGAGGCTGGCCCTGGAGATGCCTAAACAGAAATTTTTCCTCAGAAGGAGTCATGCACACGGCAGTGATTCAGAAGCTTGGCGTGTTCAGTACAGGGTAGAATCAGAAACCTGGCTTGTTTAACTCTGTTCATTCTCCCGTATCAACTTATGAAAGAATAACGTGGAAGAATTTAGCTTCTATGGAAGCTGAAAGCAACTTTGGATAGTATTTAGATGACCCTCCACATTTTAAAGATCAGGAATCTGATAAACAAATGTCCTGGCCAAGATCACAAAGGCAATTAAAGGCAGAACCAAAATAATTCAGGTAGACTCACTCGAAGAGTGATGACATGGCTCTGGCAAACTATCTCTGAAACATTTGCTCCCCATATCTAACCCCTCCCCATTTTCTTTGGTAAAGAGCAGAGTTTAATTTCCAAATAAGTACACTAAAATCATAATTAGAAAACCAAGTTAGAAGGCAATAAATAATCCAGTATTCTGGAAGGTTTTAAAATGTTTGCCTCATCTATTTTGTGAAGTGAAAATAACTTTATCCAAATTGTGGTAATGTTTTTTAACGTTGTTTAGACCCTTAGACTTCTCACTATAAAATTGGATAATATTCCCCTGACTGGTTAAATGGAGGAAGAAAAGATGAATATTAGTGGTAAACCCCAAGCTCTCATTCATTTTAGAGAGATACATGAGTTGATAAAAAGAAACAATTTGTAGAACAAAGACGCACAATTCATTGCCTTCAAGTACATAAAACAAATAGAGCCAGGCCAACACATTTATCTAATGGTGTTTTTAAGGAAACTCATTTTAAGTATTTAATTAATATACTATTTAATATGTTATTTTTTGTGGTCATCAATTTTGCTTTTGGAGTATATATAAAATCATCCAGAAATGGGGATAGGGTAAAACTAACTTCATTCCAGACCTTGTTCTAATGAATAGCAATTTTTAGTATGCTCAGACTTAAAAGTTTATATAGTTTTGAATATTTTGGTTTTAAAATCATGTATTTTGCTGACAGATCTCAACATGCTTTAATTTAATCATTAGATGAGTGTCATTATTATCTATGGACCACATTTTGCTGATGGGAATCTGAATCTCAGGACAAAGAAGGAAGGGGAGGGTGCTGTTCCCCAAACACTAATTCTAAACTGACTTAGGAGATCATACCCTGCTCTTTCCATTTACTTTTCGTTTAGTTCTTCAGGAGTTTGGAATAGAAAAGTGGGAAATAAAATATGATAAGGACAATTTATTATTAGACTGTAGATATTTTAAAGGAAAAGCAGCCCTTTATACTTTTTGACCCTATGACATATATTAAAAATCAGGAAGAACAGCAATGCCCTGTAAATTGATATTTAGGACCTATATGATTCATGACCACTCTAGTTCAGGAACAACTTAATGTCTACTGGTAAACCTCTGGAAAACAATAAGGCCAACCCTATCACTTTTTTCCTAGTTGTGGGTTGCTGACTTTTCATCCTTAGTCTTTTAGGAAAATTTAACTTTGTTGAATTTGCTTTGACGGGTTAGCTTGATGTAACTGCATTAAAAAAAAATCACAAGCAATTTAATCACAAGAAATGGAAGAGGAGAGAATTCCCTAATGGCTGTTGCTGTTACAAAGGTAGTCATAGCAGTTTTAAAAATAGTTTTCTTTTTTTTTTTTTTTTTTTGCCATTTCAGACAGTCCAAAAAAGAAAGGGGCCTGCTGAGTATATCACCAGGGAGCTAGAGAATGAGACAAAGAATACCAGTGATACATGCATTAGTTTCTCTTGGGAAACCCAGGCTGTTTTAAGAAGCCATGAGCTTGAGGAACCTTGGTAAAACCACTGAAGAAAAAGCTTATCAAAAAATATCTGATAATAAAGCTTATCAGAAAATACTTTATTAGATTGAGTCTACTTTATGTGTAGGGTCAATGGAACCAGTCTCATCCTTCCTTCCCTTGTCCTCTTTAGACAGCCCTCAGGACTGACTCCAACTCGAGTCATTACAGAATATAGTTACGGGAATCTCAAAAGGAATAAAAGCACTAATATTCATGCTCCCTAATACAGTTTGCATATTTGTCCTCACCTAAATATCATGTTGAATTGTAATCTCCAGTATTACGGGTGGAACCTGATAGGAGGTGATTGGATCATGGGGGTGGATTTCTCATGAATGCGTTAGCTTCCTCCTCTTGGTGCTGTCCTCACAACAGTGAATTCTCACAAGATCTGGTCATTTAAAAGTGTGTGGACCTCCCCCTGAACTTTCTTTCTTGCTCCTGTTTTTACAATATGAAGTGCCTGCTCCTGCTTCACCTTCCACCATGAGTAAAAGCTTCCCGAGGCCTTTCCAGAAGCAGATGCTAGTGATATGTTTTCTATAAAGCCTTCAGAACTGTGAGCCAATTTAATCTCTTTTCTATATACATTACCCAGTCTTAGATATTTCTTTATAAGAATGCAAGAATGGCCTAATATAGAAAATTGGTACAAGGAGTGGGGTATTGCTATAAACATATCTAAAAATGTGGAAGTGACTTTGGAAGTAGGTAACAGGCAGAGGTTGGAAACGTTTGGAGGGCTCAGGAGAAGACAAGAAAATGAGAGAAAGCTTTGATTTTCTTAGAGACTGGTTAAATGGTTGTAACCAAAATGCTGATAGTGATATGGATAGTAATGTCCAGGCTGCTGAGGTCTCAGATGGAAATGAGGAACTCATTGGGAACTGGAGCAAAATTCATGCATGTTATACCTTAGCAAAGAACTTGGCTGCCTTGTGCCCCTGCCCTAGGGATCTGTGGAAGTTTGAACTTCAGAGTGATGATTTAGGGTATCTGGCAGAAAAACATTTTTAAGCAGCAAAGTGTTCAAAATTTGGACTGGCTGCTTCTAACAGCTCATCCTCAGATGCAGGAACAAATAAATAACTTGAAGTTGAAGTAATATTCAAACAGGAATTAAAATGTGAAGTTTGGAAATTTTGTAGCCTAGTCATGTGGCAAAAGAAGAAAAAACTTTTTTAGGACAGGAATTCAAGTAGACCATGGAGAAACCACTTGCTAGATATTTGCATAACTAAAAAGGAGCCAAATACTAATATCCAAGACAATGGGAAAAGACTTCAAAGACATTTCAGGGATCTTCAAGGCAGGCTTTTCCATCAAAAGCCTAGAGGCCTAGGACAGAAGAGTGGTTTAGTGGGCCAGACCCAGAGTCTTGCTTCCCTGCTCAGTCTCAAGACACTGTTCCTCATATCCCGGCCACTCTGGCTCCATTCTAAGCTCAAAGGGACCCAGGTACAGCTCAAGCTGCAGCACCAGAGAGTGTAAGCCATAAGCCTTGGCAGCTTCCATGTGGTGTTAAGCCTGCAGTGCACAGAGTGCAAGAGTTGAGGCTTGGCAGCCACTGCCTAGATTGTAGAGCATGTATGGAAAAGCCTAGGTGTCCAGGCAGAAGGCTGTTGCAGAGACAGAGCTCTCACAGAGAACCTCTTCTAGGGCAATGCCAAGGGGGAAATGTGGGGTTGGACCTGCCACACAGAGTCTCCACTGGGTCACTGCCTAGTGGAGCTGTGAGAAGGTGGCTACCAC